GTTTATTATATATATATATATATATATATATATATATATATATATATGTAATTGCACGTTTGTTCATATGTATATGTATACGTGTAATTATGCGCACACACACACATATACACATACTGGAATAGGGATAAACTGGATTTCCTGGACATCGATCATGTATGGAAGCTATATTTTATATCACCTATGTGTCTTTTATTTTATGGCAAAATGGTGACTGATGAAAGCCTCATAGGGAAGGTAGTGAGCTCCTTTACATGACTTGGATCAGCTAAGATCTGCATTGCTATTCACATTCCTAGCGGTTTTTGTTACCTACCAATTACTTGAGATTATCATCATCAGAGCCTTGTCCCAACTATTTGGGGTCAGCAAAATGTTTTAAAAATGTGGCCGCATCATGCGGTATGCGGTGGGCACCGCATTTGCACAGACCGCATATACGGCGTTGAGTTATGCGGCCGCATATGCGCCGCATCAGAGCCGCATCTGGCCGCATCGTTTTCTGCAAAAACAATTTCGATTGTGCCCCTCGGGGAGGGGCAAAATGGTCCTTTTGACCATCAAAAATTGGGGGACACAGTTTGGGAGGGTATTAAACCCCCTAAACGATCATTTACAGCCACTTTCGTGGCTTTTTTGGGATCAAATAGAGCAAAAAAAACATTAAGGGGGAATTTTTTTTTTCATTCAGATCTTGTATTTGGGGATTGTTTGATACTTGGATATTGAATAGAACCTTTTGATTGTTGATTTGGGGAAATTTAGGTGAATTTGTGACAAGAAATCGGGGGTTTTAGAGGCCATGAAGAAATTGAGCACTAAAATTGGGGGTAGTGGATACAAAATCTCCGACAGCTAATAATTTAGAATTAATCATTAAACTAAAATACCTACTATCACATATATCACCTCCATATTTTTTTCTATGCATTAACCTATTTTTTTAGATTTTTTATTATTGACCGCATCGTCGCGATGCACCCGCATCCGGACCGCATCGAGCCGCATCGGTTCCCCCCACCGCTTTTAGCCGCATCCCGTATTTTAAAACATTGGGTCAGCGTACCAATTACTTGAGATGATCACTTTAATTAGTGGGTTAACCACTGCTTGCCAACCAGCTACTGATGCTTGCCAAAGATAAAATCATATTACGTTGAAAATTTAGCATCCTTGGATGATGAATTTCGGGCTTCGTACCACTTATCTATGATACCAAAAGGTGGAGAGCTTATTGGTTTGTTGTTATTGATTTGTGTGGGTTATATAGTTAATTCAGATTTGCCACTAGCAACAAAAAATCATTCCAGTTCCAAACAAAAAAACTTTTAAAGATATATGAAAACAAGCATTAAGATATATGTTGAATTATGATTTCCTATTGCTAGTTCTCTCTAATTCCCTTGCTTGTGGCGGTGATTAATGATATTTCCTTTCATGGGAATTGGGCCTCCCCACTGTTTTGATTTTAACTTATGCAGTTGGATGATTTGGAGCTAAATGATAGAGTGAAAAGATGGTGGACAAATGTTAGTGTTCAAGGTTGGGCTATTTAAGAATGCTAGAAAATTTTATAATGTGTAAAGGAAAACTTAAAAACTGGAGGTATATTGCGCTGAGAAAATTATCCCTGTTTAGATACAATAGATGAGTGATTGGAGAAGAATTCTGCTACTCTTAGGGCTCATCTGAATACAGGGACACTATAGATTCGGAGCCTTAAAGGGGGTTCAATTTCTAGTTATGCTAGAAACTGTAACGGTTGGATGGATAGATGATATGCTTGGTTCCTGTGGCTGATGTCTTAACGTTTGGAATGTGGCCATGTGAAATCAAGGAGTTTTAAGGGCTTTCTTGAGATTGTGGGAGGTGCCTGTTGGATAGCATCACCCAGTTGTTATTTGCACTATCAAGTAGATGGTGGATACCATGCTCCTAGTTTGTTAAATAAGTATTACATAGGGCATGGCAGAACTGATAAAACAAATTGGAAATGTGAAACTGTGGGTGTATCTCTGGTTATATCCATGTATGGTAATTTGCCGTAACTCAGAGGTGGTTTCTTGATCAACTTTATATATTTCAAATAGGCCCATACCAAGTTAAGGTATTTGTTGTCTACTCATAAAAAGGAGAAGAAGTTCTGAAGATTCTCTGCAAAATATAAATTTCTCTTCAGATGATTGTATACCTTTGTAGGGAAAAAGAGGTCTATTGACTACTTCTTGTCCAATGTTGTTTCTGCTTGGAATTTTGGGTGTAGCGGATCCATGTCGATTTTGTTTGGTGCTTGGTAATGCCAGCTTCTGTGGATTTATTGTGGGCATTGTTGGTTTATGCCTGTTTTCTTATTTGTATTGCAGGCATTAACTAGTGTGAAAGCATAGTTGTTGGGATTGGGAGCTGGGGAATTGTTGTTTGCCAGAAGTTCCCTCATTGGGAGCCCATATGATAAATATAAACAAAAATAAACATTTAAGAAATAAACTCAAAAATTAATTGATGGATTTTGATGTTCGAGAAATCATTCTAGTTTTTCTAGAATGAAAATTTCTGCTTCTTTAATATCTGACATTTATTTTCTGATGCATTTCGTAGGTCAAAGGGGGCCCTTCCTTAAAAGTAGTAGTGGAAAGAGTTCCCAAGAAGATGGGGAATGCGTACTCAAGACTATTGAGGCCATTGGGAATGCATTCCCGTCCCTGAATGGCAGAACCACATTCCGGGAGCAGGAATACCACGTTGTCTGGCAGATCCCAGTAACAATGGTATAGGGGAAAAGAGAGATCTATTTGTGTCATCTTCATATTTAGAATATGTGGAAGGCGCATATTGGCGAATTATTTAGCGGAAGTACCTATCTTTGTTGGACATTTTTGGAAAGTTCCTTATGCTATGATACATGTCATGGAAACAGTGTGGTCATGGGGTTTTCACAATCCCCTTTTTGGGTTCGAAAATGATGGTCTGAGAATAGTCTGTGTTTTGAATTAAAAACATGTTAGTCATTCCCCAATCATCATTGTTCAAACTAATGATGTATCCTCTTATGGGTATACTATTATGCAAGTCATATGGGTCATAGCATATTTTCTCTTGCTGGAAAACGTTGGAAATGGCATGATGACATGCGGAAGGGATAAAGTAGTTAGATTCCAAGGTTCATGAATGATGTTTATGGGAGACCTTTAGCAGCAGTTGAGATGGAGCATGATCTGGATACATTCTTCTAGAAAGGCTGACGAGTACAAGGATTATTTGGGTTTTGTAGGTCTCAGGAAGTTATGGACAATTCATCATCTGAGCCTTGTCCTAACTATTTGTGTCAGCCAAGTTATGGACAATTAATATTGGGAAATTCTTAGATGCTTTCTAGATTTCTAGAAATTGGGGAATCTACATAGTATGAGGCAAATTTTACACATGTTTAAATTATCTTCCCTAGGAGCTCAGTTGAAGGAACCATCATTATCGAGTGAATTTCATGAATATCTCAAATGCATTAAATGAAATTAGCACCTTGTAGACGAAGACTGAGTTTTTGCACTAGGCTGGGCTCTTCAACTTAGGTGTTTACCAATATTTTTGATGCATGAGATGTTCTTAAGAGAGGTAAACTTAGGTAGCATTTCATTTCCTAGCCAAATTGCAATTTGGGCCTATTAAGAAATTTCTCACCTTCAATTTATCCTTAATTGATGTTTGGTTGACAAATTTGAATTGATTCCTAATTGCGTTTGGGCTCAAAATTGATTATTTTGCAAAAATACTCCAACTTGTTTTGCTCTAGTGGCAGAGTATGTGGTATTTTCAGGTGTATCTTTAATATGGACACCCATTTTCAGGCGGAATCTAACAGATTCGGAATCCTCATCCTTATCTCTCTTATGCAAACATTAGGAAGCTCTTGTAGCACCCTCAATCGACCAGATTCACTTATCTAGTCCCCTGCCCCCTCGGGGTATTTCTCAGTTTCATCTTTCTATTCTTCCCTCATTCCCAATCCCACTTTGAGCCTCTTCTCAATCTATCATGGTCTTTACCCATTCCTCATAAAATCCAGGCTTTTGTCTGGGTTCTCTTACAAGGTAAAATTCTTACCCTTGACCAACTTAAAAGGAGAGGATTCTCATTCCCAAATAGATGCACATTATGCCTCCAGGAGGAGGAATCCATTTCTCACCTTTTTCTTCATTGTGAGGTATCACAAAACCTTTGGTCTTCTCTCCTAAACCTCTTTGGATTACAATGGGTAACCCCAGAAAATCTAACCCAACTGTTCCAAATTTACTTTGCACCACCTTTTTGAAAGATAGGAAGAAAGCTTTGGCATATTCCCATTGCAGCTTTATTTTGGAGCCTTTGGTTGGAAAGAAACTCAAGGACCTTTAGAGGTACTATCAAAACTTCCCAATCAGTTTTTATTTCCATTACAGCCTTGATATCTTTTTGGGGCAATTCTATTACTATTTTTGCCACTATGCAAATCTCCCACTTCCTGAATAATTGGGAAAGCCTCTTACATCTTCATGTCCATACAAACCGACCCAAACCTCAGTGGACCTACCCTTCCCAAGGTTACCTCAAACTTAACATCGATGGTTCCTCTCTAGGTAACCCTGGCCCTTCGGGAGTAGGAGGAACTCTGAATAGCCCCACCTTAACCATCTTGCAATTCTCAGAATTCATAGGATACCAAGATTCTACTATGCAGAAGCTGTGGCCCTTTTGGTGGGACTTAATAAGGTGCTTCAAGCAGCTCTTGAAGTTCTTGGGATTTTGGTGGAGTCAGATTACAGTAACATAGTTGCTTGGGCTACACAAGAGCAACTGCCTCCATGGAGACTTTTATTCATATTTGATAATATATTCAATTATTTGCAATCTGTTGCCGCAGGTCTCCTTCTCACATATCCTCAGAGAAGCAAACACTGAGGCTGATCGACTAGCAAGGGAAGGAGCTTTGCTTGGTCAATCAAATCAGCAGTTTACGTGATCTTATCAACTTTTTCCCTTGACCCTACAAAAAACAAACTGAAAAAGAAAAGGGGCTTATCGTTCATTATTTATTTTATCATTCTCGAACAAATGTGTATTTCTTGGGAGGGGCATTCAGTTAAGCATGAATGGTGACCCTTGGATTCGGCCACCATCATCTATGGGACTTCAGGATCATCATCACAGTGCAATGGCTCGAATGCTTTCTTCCGTTCCTCTCTTGCCAATGCCCAATATCTACTTCTTCTCGGAGGGGCTCCTCGATCATCGGAAATCAGAGTTTGCATCTTCCACACTACTTAGCAGAGGCTTGAAGCTCCCGTCTGTTCTTCCACTGGGTTGCTGAGGTCCATATCTTACGTCAGATAGTTTGAAGAGGCTTTTCTTTCAACTTCCTGAAGCTTCCTACCGTTTTTCTTTTTGGTTGATGAGGTCCAATCCTACATCAGTCAATTCGTAGAGGCCTTCCTTTCATTGTCGTCCGCTAGTTTTCAACCTCAAGCAACTTTGGTCTCAGTATTGACATTTCATCACTTATTTTCTTGTTGGGCTCTGCCCATACTTCTTTTTAGCTTTAGGCTTCTACTTTATCTTTTTTCTTTCTTGGGGTGCAGCCCCCTTGTTTCTTCTTTAGTTTTTCTCTCTTCCCCTTTTCTCCCCTTCTCTACTTCTATCTCTTGTTATCTGAGCACCCAATCTGTGGGATTGCCTTCTTTAGGATTAGAAATATTGTAATTTTCCTATGTTAATGAAGTTAACCTTTCCTTAAAAACTTGTTTTGCCAAAAAAATTAGTTTGGCTCTTAACAATATTAGTGGAAAGAGCTCCCAAGAAGATGGGGAATGTGTTCCCAAGAGAAATTGAGGGGTTTGGAATGCATTCCTGTTCCTGAAGTGTGGAACCATTCTTCCAGGAGTGGGAATGCCTCCTTGCATGAAAGATCCCTGTAACACTGGTGAAGGGAAATGTAGAACTGTGTTTGTGTCATGTTCATACTTAGAACTGGAAGTTAAATATTGACCAATTTTGTCAGCCGAAGTATCTATTCTTTGTTCCAAATTGTTTCAAAGGTCCGGATGCTATGACACATGCCATGGAAACAATGAGAGGTGGACAAGACCCAATGAATTAGCCTCAAGGAAGTAGAGCGTATTAATCACGACCTCTTTCCTCACTTCTAATACCACAGCTCACCTATCCTTATTATCTTCTTTCTTCTCTCCCCCTCCCCCTCCATCATTTTCATGTAATTATTAGCTTCTGTTTCAATTGATTTGATCCTCACTGTTAGAAAAAAAAGCTATATTTTATCCTATTAAAGAGCAGTGGGGAGATGCCAAAGTATACAAAAAAACATATGATTGATAACAAATACATATGATTGATAACAAATTTCTGTGTTTATGTTTTTTGAGCAAATTCCAATGCATCTGACTGAGTCAAGCCTGACCTGGCCTGTTGCAGACATTCCTTTGGGCCATGCAATTGAGACTAAAGTCGGGCCTGTTAATCCTGGTGGTCTTAGTATTTGGCCCAGTCCAAATCAACAAGCCCCTGTATTAGCCAAATATGATGACACATTCACTGCAAACCCCTGGTTACGTTTGTGATGCGATTTGTGTTTGGGATGTTTGTGAGCGCTGTTATTTGGATGGTTTTGTCCCTTTCACCAACATGATATTTTGGTACTGCTCTGGGCCTCAGTTGACATCTCTATCAAAGGATATAATGTTTACAAGATATGCTTCCAACCATCTAAATGCTGTATTTGACGTCGGTCCCCTTCGCATGGTTTAAAGTTCGAATTCGAATTGCTGGTTTTTGTGTTATGAGTTTTACCCCATCTCTGTTGCATGATTGTCCAGATTTAAATCCATGTACAAGTACTTATAAGTGAGGTGCTGTTAGTACCTTAATCTATATTGGTCTTATTTTCCTGGACCATATCAATCTTTTCATAATTAGTTGTGGTTTTCCAATCTTTATTTGGTGACTTCTGATGATTTCTATGGCTAATGTATGGGAATCCAGCACTTGCTTGAATGGTTACTGTGTTGTCTGCAATGCTACAATCCTGGGTTTGAATCCTGAGTGCTGCCTACCAATAAAAAAGTATGAGTACAAAAGATTGAAACATCATTTACTTCTGAGATGGTAAAACCCACAGAAAGAATGTCCATTAATTAGATGATACAAGTTACTTTAAGGCCAGGTTGTTATATATAAAAAAAAATATAGCTTTTAGGGAGATTTGCAATATATGGAGGAGTCAATGGTAAAACATGTGACTATAACGTGAGTCAATATTCTAAAAAAAAAAAAAAAATGCGACTATAAATAACATGCATCCCCAGAATATAGCAGAAAGTCTGCTAGGCACTAGTTCTGTGAAATTGAGGAAACAATGGATTAGCAATGATTCTTGGATTGTTAATTTGTTAGATCAGTATATTGCCATCTTGTTGAATCACTTAAGTACCTAAAGTTGCATTAACATTTATAGAATCTATATCAACAGATAAGCCACGCTAAATTTATCAGTTAATGCAGAATGTTCACCTCGGTAACAAGTCCAATTGATGACTGCTTCTTGGTCCTCTTGTATTAGTGACCTTTCATCGATCCTCCTTTTGATTGTTTGCACTTAGATTTGAAGAAATTCATGACATTTCTAGACTTACACAAGGGCCTTAAACCTGAGTGAGACCACATTTTTGTCTATATACCATGTCTGATTGTTAGACATGGCGTGACCTGGTGGAACATCCTAGGTTAAAAGATGATCCTAGTTTTGCATGGATTTAGGATTTTATTTTTTTTATTTTTTTAAATAGATGACAACGAAATGGAGAAAAGAAGGTGCTGCAAAGATGCAAACAAAAGTAGACGCAAATATGACAGGAGGACAAGGAGGAGTAGAGGAGGGGGAGGGAGGGGAAGGGTGAGGGAGATGAATAAGAGATGTTGCCCTACACACTAGTACAAAAACGACATTGGGTATTAATCCATATCTGCTGGGGCTAACATCCCCTCAGTGTTCAGGGGTGGACCATCTAATATCAGTATAAGAAAAATATGCATTGCAATTTTGCTTCAACCATTCATTGTATTCAAAACTGCAATTACTCTTGATGACTGTATGGATGCTTTTTCCCAGATCTTAAAAAGAAATGCAAGCTTTGCATTGGTTGTTTCATAATATTTCCCATTTTTATTCTTCAGTGTGATGCTTGTGTAATTATGTATTAATATTATCTGATATGGTTACAACAGGGTCTAACAGTCAAGGAGATGGAAGAGCTTCGTGTTGACATCAAAATGCATCTGGACTTGGACAGGGCAACACCGTTGCATATTGAATTTTGGGAGGTATTTCCATTTCTTCTTCCCTAAGTGAGATACTTCAGCCACTTTCATGGATTGAACCATTTTGCTTCTTGATCACTGTGTGCCTTAGGCTTTAGCTTAGTGGTAGACACATTGTTTCAAGTGAGGTAGATCAAGGG